GGGGGGGGGGGGGGGGGGGGGGGGGGGGGGGGGGGTCTTTCCAGTTGCACAAAATTAACCTCCTGACCAGAAGAGAGCCAAACATCCTTCTCACATTTGCTGAAGGACGTATCCACAGGGACCACCCCGAACAGTGAAATGAGTGGAGATGGGTGTACAGTTTTGCCACATACTCCAGAGATGGTGTCAAATATAGATTACCAAAAAGTCTGCAGTTTGGGACAGGTCCAGAATGTATGCAGGAGTATAGCTGGAGTTATCTGCAATGGCTGCATGCTGGGTCCAGATTGGCCTTGATCTTGAACAGTTTGTTTTTGGACCAGTGCAGCCTGTGCACTACCTTGAATTGGATTACAGCATGTCTTAGGCGGATTGAAGATGAGTAAATGTTCTTAATGATCCTTCCCCAGATTGAGTCTGATATGGGTTCTTCCAAGTCCACTTTCCATTTCTTGGTCTTGGACTTTTAATTATGTTTTTTTTTAGATTAGCTGTTAGATAAAAAAAAAAAAAAAAAAGTTTTTAAAATGATTTGCGTAGCAAGTTTGTATATTTGATGGAACCCCTTATTCCCTGAGGAGACTGGCTCGTCACAGATTGTTTTCCCAGAACAATTTTCAGTAGCATCATTGTTTTTGCAGTTTGGCTCAGTCAGTTTGATAAAAAAAATATTTTAACTTTGACAAGTCTTGCGCTATCCATCCATCCATTTTCTTTACCCGCTTCTTCCTTTTGGGTCACGGGGGTTGTCGGTGCCCATGTCCAGTTATCACTGTGCGAGGGGCGGGGTACACCCTGGACAGGTTGCAAGTCCATCACAGGGCCACATGGAGACAAGCGAGACAAACAACCATTCACTCTCTCACTCACACCTAGGGACAATTTAGAGTTACCAATTAGCCTAACATGCATGTTTTTGGTCTGTGGGAGGAAACCAGAGTACCCAGAGAAAACCCAAGCATGCACGGAGAGAACATGCAAAGTCCACCCAGAAAGGCCTCCAAACCAGAATTTGAACCAGCGTATCCTGCTCGCTGAGAGGCATCAGCTCTACCAGCTGCGCCTCTTGTGCTATCTTTATTGATAAATCATACGCTAAATTTACAGCAAATGTTTAAATGTTTCTAATACTGATTTTCCTATCAGTATGCAATGTATCGTATTAGAGATAACCTGCAACGGTTGCTCTCCAGTCTTTTTTCTATAAACCCAACACACTCCAGCGAGAGCCGTTTCAACTGAGCGGCTGAACACTTCACATCTCCACATGTGGGAATCTAACTGCAATGATGTTTGCTCTAGACGTGCACACCCACCCCACTTCATTTCAACAAGACGGCACATTTCCATGACAAAAAACAATTATTGACTTTCATTGGCTCTGCTTGCTTTGATATCAGCTAGGGGTGTGTCTGAGTGTCACTCTGTGTGTGCAGGAGGGGGCGGGTTAGGGGACCGCAGTGGTGAAGAAGAAGAAACGGGGGACCTGATGAAAGGAGCCGAGTGGGAAAATGCACCCACTGACCCTCAGTGCACTCACAGAAGTGAACGCTTAAAGCAGAAAGACATAAATTAGTTTGAGTTTTTCAGTTTTTATGTCCTCTCCTCTTCTGTCCAGTTATTTATTTTCTAAGCTCATTTTCCTGTCTAAATTATCTCCTTTTCCATTGCTAGCTCCTTCTTTTTATTTAAGTACATATATATGACAGATCCTCCCCTTCACCCCCACCTCCTTGCCCCTCTCCTCCTCTCTTCATGACCATAATTTAAGGGGCTGAAAGGCACAGCGAGCTGAAAAAGGGGAGACGAGAGCTGAGAAAAAGGGGAAACCCTGCAGATGAGGGCCTTCCTTCACGGACATGGCACAGATGTGAGGGTGTTTTTGTGAAGTGAGTCGGGGAGGGGCGGCGATAGGCTAATTTGTGCGGTATAAAGACAGGGGCCTTTTCATATGCAGAGAGCCACTTTGATGCGCGGCTCATGAAAGCTGGAGGGAGAGCAGAAGAGAGGTTGATGGAGGGGTTCTTTGTCCCGTGACAAGAAGGCATCTGCTCTGCGCAGCCCTCTTCTCCTTTGCTGCACCCAGGATCCCACAATGGGACAGCCGAGAGGAAGAATTATCAGAGCACCTTAGAAAATGGAACTTTAAAAGAAAAACAGTCGCTTTCCTGATTGCCATCCCGGTATGCGTATCACAACCAAATTTATTAGATTAAAATTCAACGCAGATGACTACATATTGTACACAGATGTACGCCTAATTGTAAAAACGTGCAGCCATTTTACGGACACCAATTACATTGTTCCACAGCTGATGAAACACATCTTCCTTTGACTGATTGCTCCCTTTGAGAAACAAGTAAACCATGAAAATCTTCCCCTTTAATGGAAATTCAGCTTAGTGTTTTGTAGAGGCAAAATTATGCGTGTGTATGTATGGGGTGAAGACCGTTCACTGAAGTGGGTGGTGGCACTGCCTGTGTGGGAATCTGCCTCAGTGTTATTGTGTGTAGACTGTACAACTTTCAGTGTTTTTGTAAGTGTATTTTCAATGTGTGTGTGTTGTTTCACTGTTGATTATCGGTGTGGGCCCACCAGGGTTCAACACCAAATACTGGCTGAATTTTCACTCGCACAAAAGTTGAACATGTGCAGTAAAGCAAAGAGGGTTTGTGCAAAGAAAAAACAACAGATTAAAAGTATGGACTGATTTCTACGTTCTACTAAAAGTGACTTAATGATTTCTCAAATCCAAAAGCTGCTTGTTAGGAATAGAGATATGAGCAATATTACTTTTTGAAACAGTTTAAAACATTCTATGTAACTATATTATTTTGCTGGATGTACTGTAACAAACCCATTTTGTCCCTGGGATATCGAAACAATCATACAACATTGAATAAACAGATGTTCTTTAACAAATCTGAATGTATTTTTGCAATTATATTCTAGCAAAATAGTTCTACACATGCTTACTTGTACTAAAATTACACACAATTCTTCAAAAGAAGGATGACTTTTGGAGTACTAATTGATCAATCCCTGGTTATGTCATTCTAGGTGCTCTTTGCCCTGAACCAGACCTTACTACAGCAGGAGTCATTAAGAGCAGGAAGCCTACAGGTCCCATACACAACTGAGGACCTCATCAGACACTACAACTGTGGAGATCTCAACTCCATCATCTTCAATCACGATACCTCACAGGTCAGCTCTGTCAGTCTCATCTCATCATATTTTATATTATCTTAGTGCCCACATAATTACCTTTACTCAACTCAATAAGCAGAGTCATTTTGACCCCTTGACCTTTTGATTGTTCCACTGACATGACCCTTGACTGTTTGCTTCACGCTCTTTCATCTCTCACTCCTTCAAACTCTGTTTGTTTTTTTGTGATCACTTTCCATCAGGATTTTGAGTTGCAATTAAAATACATTTTGTATATTGCATTTCTTGTCGTTTAAATTGAAAATGTTTTCTTTTTCACCCTTATGACCCGATCGAACCACTACATGTGGAACTGAAGGTCCCTAATTTCAATAACGTGACGCTGCCTCACAGTGAGCAGGTGACTGCCCAAGAAATAGACAGCTACTTCCGACAGGAGCTCATTTACAAGAGGAATGAGAGGATGGGCAAGAGGGTGAAGGCACTGCTTGAGGAGCACCCTGACAAGAGATTCTTCTTTGCCTTTGGTGCAGGTATGTGCTTGTGAATAATATAAACTACATGGTATTTTTTACCTACATACATACATACATACATACATACATACATACATACATACAGTACACACGTACATACATACGTATGGTTGTGCAAATAGGTTATCTGTTTTACATTAAACCAGTTAGAATAAGAACATTTGCATGTTTTTAAGGTTTTACAATTGATCTATTATCTGACTTCAGGAGTTAGATAAAAGTAATTAAACGTCTAAATAACAAACATTTGACTATCATAATCAGTGTTGTAAGTAATAATGACCTTATAATGGCTGTTTTCTAACAGACAATTGTGAAATGAGAACAACTAATTTCGTATTGAGGAAAACGCTGTTATAAACAAAGAGACTGTTTGCACAATCCTTATTTCATTTCATGTTCAAAACATTTGCCAAAGTTTTTTTTTTTTTTCCCCCTCGGGAAGTTTATACATTAATATGCTTCTGTTTTTCTTAAGTGATTAAACACCTGCTTCTTGCCCTAATTTTAGCTGAGTTGCGACTGGGGGTGCACCAATAAATCGTCCGACTGATTTATCGGCCCCGATTTCCTTAATTTTGGGAAAGTGGAAAGTGGCTGATACTTGCATGAGAAACCGATTTTACAGATTTTATTTTTAATGTTTTGTTTTAACAACAATTGTCTGAACTTCATTTATATTTCAGAGCACTACCTCATGGCCATACCATACCATAGCCATTTTATTTCTAAAGCACTTAAAATACAACATAGCAGCCGTCCAAAGTGCCGTACGTATTGTTTCTAGAATATTGTTCAAGAGTATATTTTCCAATAAATAAGACTGGAAAATGGAAGGTGCAATGTGACCTTATAACACCTGACAGTGTCGCTTATAAAACAAAATCGGTATCGGCCAAAATTGGAATCGGCAGGTCAGACTTTTTAGAAATCGGTGATTGGTGATCGGTGACTGGCCAGAAAACTGAAATCAGTGCACCCCTAGTTGTGACTGCATGCTACAATCTGCATGCACCTTGTGGAAGCATGCACTACCCACAAAGCACATATTTTATTTTACATTGTAGAGAGAAATAAATTGTATAAGAATAACCTAATTGTGATCATTGTACTAGAAAATAAAGCCAAAATGCATTGTTTTTAACTTGTTGGTTCATAGTGTGCTTAAATAAAATTGTAATTTACTGGGTACTTAAATAAACCATCAATGTCATAGTGCTTTGAAAATACACATAATTAAAAGGGTTGCCACAAACGTAAAAACACAAGTAGCTTTAAAAATACTGTCAACATTTTAGTAGTAACAAAATGGCTTTTTAAAAAAAAACATTTCTTCCTTTGCAACAAAGTTCATGCTCAATTATCCAGTTATCAAATCCAATAATTCTTTCTTCCTTTGGCTGCTCCCTCCTGCAGGGGTAGCCACAGCGAACACACTCACATGGAGAATTTAGCCAATTCCCTTCCTAATGCTCAAACCTGCAGCCTCAAGATTATGAGACCATTGCACTGACCACCAAGCCACCGCACCCTTAGCTTATTTCATAAAATAGAATAATAATTTACGACTCAATGTGAAGATTTTTAACCTTTTACAAAACAGACATGGAATTTAAACACTTAATTGTTGTACTTTGTGATGCATTAATGACAACATATTTTTAAAACTTTTTTTTTCCATACAAGGCCAATGTGATTTTCAAAACATTGTGTTTACTTAACTGTCCGCTCAACTCTACCATCAGCACCATTGAACAAAAGGTCTTCAGGTCTGTCCTGGGTCAACTTTGTGCAGCTTAATATTTTGTAACTGTGCAGACACTGCATAGGCAATGGTAAACCTAAGACGGAACAAAAGACAAGACGACTGTTCGATCATAAGCAGACACAGATTAACAAGAAGAACACTGCAAACAAATTGTGTAGATTTCCTTTAGGCTTAATCTTTTCTCTAACCATAGTCAGCAAACTAGCACAATACTGCCACCTATTGGACTGGAGTGTTAAACTATTTCCAGAAGTTGAATACTTTGGCAAAGCCGACCTAAAATATTGTAATATAAGCATGTACATGCGTGCACATCTGCAAAGTCTTAAATGTTTGAGCATATGAACGGAGAAATAAGGTTGAAGCCTTGATTCAGTTATAATGATACCATCGAGTATCATCCTCTGAAGTTTTCTCCGGTTGTTTCCAAAGAGAAAAGTAGTGAGAGTTTTGTAGAAAGAGAGACCTTCACAGTCTGCTGGTTTCAGGACTGACAGGAAACAGCTGAAGTAAAGCAGACACGCACGCATGCACACACATACACACACACTAACAAGGAATACATTTCACAGTGTGTCCCAAAGGAGGTGGCTTTACAAGGGCTTGGTCTCTAAAGGTGTGTGCTTCTGTGTGTATTTATGTGTGTGTGAGCTGCTGAGTGAAACTGATATGGCCAATCAGCCCAGAAGCACAACTCTGAGACATACGGAGGGCAAGTTAGGTTGACATGTACAAGAAATGGGATGGGGCACGTTAGGGTATACACACATGCACACACATACACATAAAGGCCCCAGCCAGAAGTCATTCCCAAAACCAACCTTGGTAAAAATGTGTCCTTAATTATACCTTGAAGGGTCGGAGGACCCCCCCCCCCACACACACACACACACACACATGCACACACAAAACACAATGGAGTCCATTGTGTCAGCATACCCTTGCACTTCCCTGGTACCATCAGCTGTGAGGCTTATCAGTGACCATCTCATGTCCCTTTAAATCAGTACCAACGGATGTCTTTACAGATTAAAGGCTCAATTATGTTTTACTCTTACTCTTACTGAAGTGCCACTGTACCTTGCTCTAGTAACAAGACTCTGGGAAAGAGCTGGACTGGTCACCCATAGCTTCCTGAAACATAATCACTCTCAACTCTAAATCAGATGTAAAGGAATTAAGAGTTTTGAAGATGCAGAAGCAAATTAAGCATATTTCTCTTCCCGAGTAATAATCCCATTAGTGCGCACGAGTTAGCCTGCAGATTCCTGACTGATGCTATGCAGAAAATTGCTGTGGGCTTTCATTATTGCCTTCAGTAAGATTTATTACTATGACAACTTAACAGAAGTGTTTATACATGATAATTAATTTTTTTGTAAATCTGTCAAGTTGGAAACAGACAAGACTTTGCCAAAAAACACAAACAAAAAAAAAACCTGAAGATATAAACAAAGCTTTTGGGGTTTCCTGGTATTTTGTGTTTATGGAAACTGACACAAAGACTCAAAGTGTGTTGCAATGACAAATTATACTTGACAATTATATATTGTTATCATATATATATTGTAGATATTTTGAAAGTCATTCCCACAAAAAAAAAAAAAAAAAATTGGCGTTATTTAATATGCATTGATTGTAGACAGGGCCGAGGAGGTGTGGCAGGGCAGTCAACTCGGGACCCGAAGGTCCTGGGTTCAATCCCAGATCATTGCACATCTCGTGGTGTCTCTGAGCAGGACAACCAATCCCGAATTGCTCCCCGGGTGCTTACATAGCTGCCCACTGCTCCACCTGGGTGTATCCCAGGTGCGATGGGTTAACTGCAGAGAACTAATTTCGTCTTTGTATGGGAACATACAATGATGACAGCACATAGCACTTTATTATTTATTAATATTATAAATTGGGCGGCACGGTGGCACAGTTGGTAAGAGCTTCCGCCTCTCAGTGAACAGGTCATCGGTTCAAATCCCGGCCGGGGGCCTTTCTGGGTGGAGTTTGCATGTTCTCTCCAGGTACTCCCTTTTCCTCCCACAGACCAAAAACATGCAAGGGGACATGCTCGTTTGTCTCTATGTGTCCCTGTGATGGACTGGAGACCTGTCCAGGGTGTACCTCGCCTCGCACAGCGATTGCTTGAAATGGGCACCAGTGACCCCCGCGACCTGAAAAGGAAGAAGGGGGTAAAATATAATGGATGGATGGATGGGAAACTAAGAGAATTTCAATCATATAAATTATTTTTTGACGAGTTAACCTTTTAACACATTACAAGGCCTATATGTGCACAAAGCAAAGTTAAATAAAACGCAAAAGTCTGGCTGGACAGTCTTTGAACTCCAAATAATGTTTTATTTTTCTCGTTTTTTTTTTAAAGCAGCATAACAAAACAAACCCTGTGAGTCTTGAGTTCTGCAAATACAATCATTTAAAAAAATAAATCAAATAATTTAATTTATCACAAAGTCAGATTTGAATAGCAGCGTCATTGTAAAGGAGTAACTTGAACATTATGATATAGATTTTTCCATTTATGCAGTGATATTAGACCGTTGTGCTTTTTGTTCCTGTGTTAAGGTTCATTAAGGATTTGACTTTTCCAAATATACATTGAAGCTCTGTAAGTAAATACCTTCTTGAAATCCCAGTCTCCCTTGCTGCACCAGTCTGTTTATCTAAAATACCACACCCATTTCTCAGCACAGATGAAAACATTAACAAAAGTGTCTAACTTTCAGTGCGTCGTATGAAAGCAATTATTACTATAATATCTGGTACAGTAATTTAATCCACGCATAGTATCTGAGCCTGTGTTCCCTCTGCTATACTCCTGCACTGCTGAAGTTTGTATAATAATGTGTTTACATCTTGCTGAAGGCCAAAGGCTCCGTTTCTGCCGCTCCCTAAAATGAATTTTTCTCTCCCGGCTGAGCTTGAATAAATCCCCGCTTTTTACCGAATCTGCTTAGCGCACCACGACTCTCCTCAAACTCTGCTCCAAACCACAAATTTAAATGTTTGTGGCAGCATAATTGCAAGTGTGGTTGACAAGCTCTAACAGTTACTGCATTTTAACTGGTTTCACAGACAATTAGGGTTTGCTTTTGGATCTTCTGCTGTTTTGCTTGGTAAGAGTGCACTAAAGTGAATCCTTCTTAGTTACTGGGCTGTTTAGTGCAGTAGGCAGGGAATCAAAGATGCATGTTGGGCCACGAAAAGAGGTTCA